AGACAAGTATTGTGATCTACCTATGATGCAATAGATTACGAGCAGAAAAAGAAGAAACAGACATATATATATATAATCACATAGAGAGGAGAGTGCAGAAGATAAGTAAAAAATAAAATACTTTTAAATAAAATAAAATACACTTCAGAAAAATACAATCTTAAGAATTATTATTAAATGACACTACATCCCAATTATTCGAGACTTGGCCTGCTCCAGCATGGATCTCCAGTTCTCTCGGTTGGTTGCTGCTGCCTTCCAATTTCTGACACCAAGTAGTCTACATGCATCAGCAGCCACACAGTCTTGCCAGCGCAAACATGGTCTTCCTACTCGTCTGTTTCCAAACACAGGCTCATTCATAGCTCTGTGGGGGGCATCCATATCCATACGTGCGACATGTCCTGCCCAGCGTAGTCTTGCCAGTACAATGAATTGGCTCACATCCAGGTCATTAAATAATGTATTTATTTCTAAATTCGTTCTCCTCCTTCAATTCTGTGGTGTTTCCTGGACCCCTCCTAATATGCGTCGTATAATCCTCCTTTCAAATCTGAGCAGGGATTTCTCAACTGCTTTAGTTAAGGTCCAACTCTCACAGCCATATGTGAGCACTGGTCTAATAAGAGTTTTATATATTCTTATTTTGACCTGTCTTGACAACATTCTACTGCGAAGATATCTCTGGAGGGAGAAATAGCATCGATTAGCCACTGCGATCCTCCTGTCTATTTCACAATCAATGTTGTTTCGTGCATTTATCAATGAACCAAGATATACGAATTTGTCAACATTATCTGTTCCAGCCATGCTTTGTTTTCCCCTTGTTAGATGTGAGGATAGGGTGGACATATATTTTGTTTTGGACGCGTTAATAACAAGACCGATTTTGGCTGCCGACTCTTCCAGACTTGTAAAAGCTTCTTGTACAACCGCAAACGATCCATTATATCGATATCGTCCTCATATCCAAGTATTTGGGTCATTCGATTTAGGAGGGTTCCTGTAGTCTGGATACCAGAATCCCTTATGACTTTTTCAAGGGTAAAGTTGAATACCAGACATGCCAGAGCATCTCCCTGCCTTACACCTGTCGATGTTCTAAACCCCTTTGACAAGTCACCTTGTACTCGTACGAAACACTCATTACCCTCCATTGTCATTCTAACAAGCCTTACAAATTTTGTAGGTACATTCATTTCTATCATTGCTTTGTATGCTTCCTCACGATTTATGGAATCATATGCTTGCTTGAAATCGATGAAGATGTGATGTGTACCAATTTGATATTCTTTGGTTTTCTCCAGAAGGATTCGCAAGGTGAATATTTGATCGATGGTTGATTTACCCTTAATGAATCCTGCCTGGTATTTTCCGATTTCAGCCTCGGCATAAGAAATTATTCTTCTATAAAGAATCCTTGAAACAATTTTATAGGCGGTGGGTAGAAGGCATATGCCCCTGTAATTATTGCATTGATAGACGTCCCCTTTTTGTACACTGGGCATATAATGGATTTTTTTCCAATCACTTGGAAGTTCTACATCAACCCAAACGGCATGAAACATTTCCTGGAGGAGTTTTATGAGCTCTTGACTACCATGTTTATAGAACTCTGCAGGGATGTTATCAATGCCTGGGGCTCTATTGCCTTTTAGACCTTCTATGGCTTCATTGATTTCTTCCTCGTCTGGAGGTTCTACGTCTTCACAACCTTTAATTGGATCATTTGCTTCTGAGACATTTGTGCCATTTCTGTTAAGAAGAGTTGAAAGGTGTTCAGCCCATCTTTTGTTGCCTTGTTTGTCAGTTACTGAAGAACCATCGTTTGCTCTGCATCCTGTGGTACAGGCGCTGAAGGGCTTTCTTCCTTTATTAACAACGTAAGAATGGAAGAATTCTCTAGTATTTTTGGAGATGAAGGCCTCTTCTACCTCCTGTAGACTCTTATTCTCCCATCGTCTTTTCTTCCTCCTATGGACATGCCTCTCGCGCCTTCTCGTTGCTCTGTATTCCTCGACAGAGCTTCGTGTGTGCTTTCTTTGCATCATTTTATTGTATGCAATGTTTTTTCTCTTAGTCACTGTACCGCATTCGTCATTAAACCACGGGTTATATCTCTGCTTGGTCTTATTCCCTACAACCTCGTTCGCTACTTCCATAAGTGTAGTGAGGCATGAGTTCCATTGTGACTCGAGATTTGATTCTGGGACAGAGTTCCTTAATCTGATGTCCAGTTGGTATGTGAATCTAATGCTTGTATCACTGTCCTTAAACTTTTCAATATTATACCTCTTCAGAGAACGTCGAGGCAGGTACTTCACTGTTGGTATCCGATACCTTATTTTTGCAATTATAAGGTAGTGGTCCGAGTCAATGTTAGCCCCTCGTTTCGTGCGAACATCAAGTAATGAGGATTTATATCTGGCGCTGACGAGTACATGATCGATCTGAGAGCTTTTAGTGGATCCGTTCCATCCAAATTTCCTCCATGTTTCTAGATGCACTAACTTGTGCGGGAAATGGGTACTTCCCACAACCAAACCCTTAGAGGCTGCGAAGTTCACCACCCTTTTTCCATTGTCGTTAGAGTTCTCATGAAGGCTATTTCTTCCTATAGTAGGCCTAAATGCTTTCTCTTTTCCAATTTGAGCATTGTAGTCTCCAATCGCTATTTTCATATCTTGAGCAGGGCAGTCATCAAAGCATTTCTCCAGTTCCTCATTGAATTCGTCCTTCATTTCATCTTCAGAGACTTCTGTAGGCGCTTGTACACAGATGATGCTGACATGGTGAAACTTTCCCTTGATTCGCAAGACAGAGTCTGGAGCTGATAGGCTTGAAGTCTATTACTTGCTGGGTCACTCTTCTTCCCACAATGAATCCAGTCCCAAACGAGTGTAATCGGTCATGACAACTGTAATAAATGGTTGGTATGCTGGCCTTTCTTAAGGCTGCCTTGTCCAGTCCACCTGATCTCTTGGATGGCCGCTATGTCTATTGAATATGTATTTAAACTGTTTTGGAGCGTTTGTGTAGCTCCGGGTCTATGTAGAGTTATTTTCTTTTATTTTATTTTATTATAATCTTGTTTTTCTTTTATTGTATATATGGTATGATTGCACTTCATTTATCCCAAATACTCAATGCCCTTAATTGAGGCAAAATGGTTTTTTTTTCTCAATAAAAAATATCTAGACATTTTATTATGGTGAAGACCATTTTATCAGCAAAAAAGATTTGTCCAATGCAATTGGCAAGTCAACAGGTCTGGATGAAGTAAACCGAACTGCAACGCGTGCATAGACAACAAATTTATTAGAAAATGATATAAAAGGACTGTAGTTTTGTTCCTTTACAAGAAAGGAGATACTAGGAAATGTAATACCCATGTAATCAGTCTTTTAGAAAGAGTAACATATTATCCAGATGTTTTATTTCAGAGCGTTTTGCGTTATTGTTGCCCTTTTAATTACAAACAATGGTTGATTTTCAACTTGAAAAGTTTTTTTAAATTGACTAAACTGGTGTTTTTTATTGCCTTAGTCAATTATTTTTCCATGTTTTATTATTCTCTGATTATCCAGCTTTAATAAAAGACCAACTATTAACACCGAACCATTTTCATGACAGTTGTATGTAGTGTTTACATTTCAAGTTACTCTTAACGTGATTTTTCTTGCTTCAGGCATTCATTCAACAATTTTGTCGTGATAACCCAATTGTTTTGCGAAGTTACAATGCCTAGGGAGTGTGAGTGTTACAATGCTCCTGACAACTATTATTATATTTGTGGGGAAGTAACATTTGCAAGTCAAAAACGTCCTATCACCCAAATGACCAAGACAGAATACCACAAGTATTTTGTGGTGAAGTTTGGTGACCAAGATAAACCGTGGGCCCCGCACATCTGCTGCATCACATGTAACCTTAAGAGAACAGTTAAACAAAAAAGGTCGTTCGATCCGTTTACCTGTTCCCATGGTGTGGAGGGAGCCTACTAATCACAGTGACAACTGCTATTTTTGCATGACCCCTCTTCATGTATATATATTTCGTTTTCATAAGAAGCATCCGTTCATTATACCAAATGAATCCAGTCAAATGAAGACTACAATGGGATGAATCCAGTCAAATGAAGACTACAATGGGATGAGTCCAGTCAAATGAAGACTACAATGGGATGAGTCCAGTCAAATGAAGACTACCATGGGATGAGTCCAGTGAAATGAAGACTACAATGGGACATCGATCTAGAATTTTCTGCTGATAAATAATCTTTTAGGCTACCAAATACGAATATCTACATTGAAACCTTTATAAATCTGCCGAAAACCCTTCCTTGTTACCATTAGAAACGACTACATAGACTACCAATTGCAGATACAACCTTGTCAAACCAAACGAAGTAAATAATTTCACGCAGTTAGAACCTTGTTAGTAGTTCGGCTATTTCTCAACCGATCACAGACATTGTTAACTCCTCATGTGCAGTCGACAAAGGTGAGTCATAAGCACCAATAATCTCATTTTGCCCCAAAATGTCAGTTACTTTGTCAAACCAAGATAGCGAAATACTTTTGTACAATAGTATAATTATTAATGAAATCATGTGTAAGTTGATGAAGGGGCCAAGATCTCAAATCGTCCTAAAAACGAATAAAATGACTAATTAACTACATAATTAAAAAATCTTTGTGAAATTGGTGTAAGGTTATTACTATGATCATTGACGTACTAGGTAAAAAAAAATTATTTCATTTTTGTTCTCATCCATTAATGGAACTAATAAATCCATTAAAAAAATAATAAAACATGATTAATAGATTCTGTAATGAATTTATGAATGCAGAAAAACTTTACTTTTGATAGTTCTCGTTTGATTTCCTGGCTACATCCCAACTGCAGATAAACTGTTTTTATAAATGGTGTTACAAGTTTGGGAACATTTTCTTTCATGGTGCCATTCTTAGAGTATTATAAAACCTTATGTTTTTCAGGAACCGGAGAGTGAATTCAAGCCAGTTCTTTTGTATTCGGAAGATGAACAAGTCCAGATAAATATTGACGATAGCAGTTTGCTGAGGCACCAATTATCTGATAGTGAAATAGATATTTTCTTGCCTGCATCAACATCAGGTATATTCTCCTTTTACCAGCACTATTCTTTTTTTTTTTTTTAATGATAGTTATTTTTAAAATTACAAATTATTTTCATATATTCATAAAAATATTGTTATTTTATACAAAAGGATTTGTTTATGTGATTTATTGTTAAATTTTATTTAATAGATAAGAGATTTACTAACATGAAAAATGAGTAGAAAATCTTTTGTAAAAGCAGCCATAACCCAGTCCAAGGTCGTTGGGTTGCTTTAATATTAGAACCCTTCAAAATATCGCATTTATTTTGGCTGATTATGAGACTTATATTTTATGAAAACTTTCCTTTGAAAGGAACAAAAAATCTTGTGCGGTTCGCGCATCACACAACTTTTACTTATCACCATACTTTAAAAATATTTTTGTAAATAGCAAAGTAGAAAGAAAACTTATAGGTGGTACAAATAATTCATTAAAAACAATTAATCACCATGTTTTTCCTTCGCATTTGTTAAATTTATACATTTTACTCCTCTCTCTCTCTCTCTCTCTCTTTCTCTCTCTCTCTCTCTCTATATATATATATATATATATATATATATATATATATATATATACATATTACGACTGTAAATAATATCTAATAATATTCATGATTGTGTAGAAGTGAGAATCTTTCGGGAAATTCTGAGCACTACCCGAAAAGATACGAGTTATATCTATAATGAAATAGCTGAAAAAAAAACTCGTGTTCTCACTCGACTTTCACTTACCACCCTCTTTTTAGCAGAAATAAGTATTTTCAGACAAAGGGGAAGTGAAAGTAAAAATTATAGACGCTATATTTATTTATATTTCATTGAGGATATTTTCATTTGTATAAGTACCCCTATTGTTGGGGCCAGGGGTACTAATCGAAGTACAGATCTTTCCTCGGTGAGTTTCCTCAAAGGTGGGGAAAATTCGAACAATATTAAATGGAAGTAGGGGGGAAATAGTGAATATGAGACCTGTAAAACATGAAAAATGCATGCACATAAAAAATATTATGAAAAGGAATTATTCAATAAATCAAGTTTGATTTAGTTGCATCACCATTAATCTTGATTTTAAGCACGATTTAAAGCGTTTAATCTCCTCGCGAAAGAATTAATTTCGTTAAAAATAGTTTCGAACCGCTCGTAAGTGACATCAATACGTGAAACTCGAGCCAAAAACAACGATTTACGCGAGGGATCGGTGGGTAGACTCAGCCCTACTGCGGTGGTCGTCTTAATATCACGGGCCAAGTCGTCTAATTGATCTTCCAGATCGGCCAACATCGCTTCCTGTTCCTCATTAGTAATTTTTGGAGGCATGGTGATAACAATAAACGAATATTACCACCAAAACAAAAAATATTTAAAGCGAGAGAAAAAAAAATTAAACGTGAACGGAGCGATTTAAAGAGGTAAAGCACTAAATAAAATACCACCAAACAAATTAAAGAGAGAGAAAATAAATAATTACACGTAAACGGAGACTTATAGAGATTTCGAAAACGAGAGATAAATAAATAACGAAATAACAGTAAAATAAAAATTTGAGGAATAAAAAAATCGGAGGACCAAAATAATTTAAGTACTGATATATCCGGCCCGGACTCAAAAGATGTTGGGGCCAGGGGTACTTCAAAATCGAAGTACAAATCTTTCCCCAGTGAGTTTCCTCAAAGGTGGAGAAAATTCGAGCAAAATTAAATGGTGGGAAGGAAGCGGGAAAAAAATAGTGAATATGAGACCTATAAAACATGAAAAATGCATGCACCCCAATATATAATATTGGGACAATTGTCTCTCAGTTTTTTACAAAATAAAAAATAAATAAACATTTAATTATTATCATTTAAAAGAGTAAAAACACGCACACGCTCACGCGTGCGCACGCGCGCGCACACACACACACACACACACACACACACACACACAGATATTACTTACAGATAGATATTACTTAAAATTGCTTTTCCTTTCCAAAGGTTATCATGTTTATGGAGAGGAGTAGTGGAGGTAGAATTAATAAGGCAAGAGGAGTGAATATGAATGAACTTCAAAAATACATAACAATATCTTTACAAATAATTTAACGTTGTGCTGATCTGTTTCACTACCTTATACAGTGTTACTTAAAATACACATAAAACATGGGGAGGGCAGAAATTATTCACATTCTTCTTTCTTTACCTTGATCACACACTAGCTAGTCTCGCCACGACACTTAACCTTTTCCAAGATGGCAGGCTCCCTCCTTCTCAACCATTGGATATTAACTTTCACATAGCCTAAAGTAACAAATACTATTTTTTTATTATCATTACAAACGCAGATGATGTTATGTGTAACAGACAGCTTTACATATTATGAAACTCTTTCGTATATAACAAAAAATAAATGGAACAGTGTATATATATATATATATATATATATATATAAGTTAACTGTATATAAGATTATTCTTTAGATAAGCTAAATAATTGTTTAAAACACATGTTAATATAGAGAATTGATATAAACAAAAGGTGAGGTTACAAAAGTGTTTATTAATACAGTGTAGAAAACTTATGTAAGTGCTCGAAATAAAACCACTTCATTCCCACAACCTGTGTTGTTATTTCTTCAGTCGAATCATAACTGGTGCCGAAACTCGAAAATTTCTGAGGTATAGTCAAATTCATTTAAGTAGTTAGTGATCTCAAAATCTAAAGCTATACGGTACATAATTATGGGAGAAGAAAAACTTGCAAAACTTGAATATGAACTGGCTCAGGCGGCGGTAAAACACTCGAAGTTAGAATCTGAGCTGACCAAGGCGACAGACACTATGCAGCTAGAACTATTGAAGATACGAACGCAGAATTCAGCGTTCATCCATGAAGTAATTAGTCAACTAGAACCTTTTACCGGAGTAATAGGCGATCTTGACCATTTCATCAAGGGAGGTGATCAGATAAAGAATCTGATAGTGTCCCGAAGAGAAGAGGGTACACTACTGGATTCCGACGTGAGTCTTCTCGAGACGTCTCTAATCGGTCGTATATCGAGGCGTGTTTTAAATGCCATTCAAGGCGATTTGACACACTCCTGGGATACGCTGAAAGTAAGGCTAAAGAAATTATATGGCGGAGGAAGATGGACCCCGGAAGAGGATGTATACTATTTGCTTAAGGAACGAAGGAGTCAAGGGCAATCCGAGGGTGAATTTGCTGAAAAACTGCTTATTGCATATAACAGACTTACTGAAAAAATGGTAGAAGCCTGTGGCCAATCAGAGGGAGCCCAAAAATTGGAGTTCATAAGGAGTGTCATAAAAGTGCAACTCAACCACTACGTGGATCGTCCAGGCTCACTTCCAAGAGACCGGGATTTCGTAGAGTGGGCAAACGATCTTATTGATGCCAGAGAGCGTAACGAAGCACGTTTTGAGAAAACGGAACCAGAGTGGACAAAGGTAAAATCACTGAGGAGGAGACACCAAAGTCCTCTCAGGCAGTCTACCAACACCCGGAATTTCGAAAAGCGCTCAGGTAGAGGCCCAGATGAAAGGAGGAGGAAACCAGAACGGCGCTGCTACGAATGTAACCGAACCGGCCTCATAGCAGCCCAGTGCAACCTCACAAGGTGCTACGAATGCGGTAGGCGAGGCCATCTTGCAAGGGAATGCCCAAGACGCAACCCACGAACAAATAGGAGGGATCAGCAACACGAAAGAATGGAAGTCAATAATCAGGATTGAAGCGGCAGGCGGCCAGACAGCAGGAGCAGCAAGCGCTACACCAGCGGGACTCTTCGGAAGAAGAGAGCGTCTGTTCTGAGCGCAGCAGCCCGGCTACGAGGAAATCCGAGGTAAGTAGTGGGAGTCCTTGGAGGGGAGGTCCTTCCGTTAAGGAAATAACGCCGGGACGCAACCGTGCAGATTGAGGATACGGCAACGGGTGGGGCAACCAATCGAGTACTTTAATAATCAATAATAGTGGGACAAGCGGACGGTGGACTAGGTTGCCCGTGGCGAGGTTAAGAGATTCGAGAATAAAATTTTTAATCGATACGGGAAGCACTAATTCATTAATAAGTCTCAAAGAGAGGGGTGCAACCAGATCAGGAGCGCGTAAAAGCCATCCGAGAAGCACCATTACCTAAAAACGTTCGAGGCGTCAGGCGGTTTTTGGGAATGATAAATTACTACAGAAAATTCATTCCTGGTATAGCGGAATCAACGCACCCATTAACCGAAATTTTGAAAAAAGGGAAACGATTTCAACTAAGCGCTGAGCATTTAGCAAGTATCAAGAAATGCAGAGAGATTCTTACCACGAGACCGTTGTTAGCATTTCCTGATTTTAATAGAATATTCAAAATTAGCATGGATGCAAGTGAGGTCGCTATTGGGGCGGTCCTATCACAGAATTTTGAAGAAGGTGAAAAACCCATTGCATACGCGGGCAGGAAACTAAACGATGCTGAGAAACGATACAGCGCTATCGAACGAGAACTTCTAGCTGTAGTGTGGGCAGTAGAACATTTTCGTCCATACGTATACGGGAGACGGTTCGAGTTGTTAACTGACCACAAACATCTAATATACCTAGGTACACTTAAAGAATCGTCAGCACGGGTATCGCGATGGAAAGAACGTCTCGCGGCATATAACTTCAATACGGTGCACAAAAAAGGAGTCGAAAATGTCGTGGCCGATTGGTTATCATGAGATTTAATAGTGAATGCAATCGACGAAGAAAATATTCCCGTGGAACTGTTAGCACTAAGATCGCGAGAATGGACGCAAAGTGAGCCCGAAGGCTCACCAGTTGACAGTGAATCGGAGGAAAACGTCATCTCGACGGATAGACCCCAGGAACTACCTGAAATAGATGAGATTGTCAATGATAAGAAACTTCAGATAATCATTAAGTCAAAGCTGGGTTCTGGGACGGAAACGCGGAGGAGCGTGTATGAGGGTTTGGCAACTATAATAGTCCGTACACTTGCATCAATAGACGA